TTTTTTTCTAAAGCTTCTTTCTTTCTTTCTTTCTTCCGTGAGAGAGGGATAGAGAGAGAGTGAGAGAGGGAGACAACACCCCTAGCAGAATCCACACATTGTCACCCAACCCCAGCATCAGCCAGCCTGGGCCACAGGCACACACCCACCCCCAGCACATGCAGGGAAACCTTGAGATGGGGACTGGGGACATTCCTATGTGCCTTCGTGTCACAGAGCGCTCTGTTGCCACTGTGCCACCTTGACTGGTCCCAAATCTTTTGCTCACCTGCTTTCTGTCCTCTCTCGCTCCACCCTCCCTGGCATACCTCTCTGGTATGCTTGCAAAATGTTTTTGAGCCACATTGAATCAATAAAAGCATGTATTCTGGGGACCAGCAGGTGGCGTGGTGGTTAAGGCACTGGACACTCCCACATGGCTGACCATGGTACGAGTCCTGGCTTGCTTTCTCACTTTCCCTCTTTCTCTAAAATAAAATGAATGAATGATAAAAGTAAATAAATAATTCTTTGAAAAAAAATAAAAGCTGTATTCTGATCACCTGCTGTTATTACAGAGCCTGGGAGAAAAACCTTAGCGATATTGAGAAATTTATGGTAACATTAAAAAAAAAAAAGGAAACCATGACCCTATAATTATACCTCACATTATTTAAAATGTGACTGCTTCTAATATTCTTTTATGCATCTTTGAGTATTCAGGGCTCAATGCATGTCTATTTTCAAACTTATATTTTAACATCTACTATACAAAAATACCACTTAAAGAAATACATACGATCTTTTAAATAATTTTTAAAAAAAGGTGTGGAGGGGAATATAGTATTCAAAATTATCAGAAGCTTGCTGCCATTTTATTTAGCAATGCAGCCTCATTAAACATTTTTCTCTCCAAAGACGTTCCAGGAGTCCTGTCTTCAGTTCTACCAGGCCGAGCTAGAACAGCTTTCCTTTAGGGAAGCTGCAGAGGAGTCCAGGAAACATATAAACACTTGGGTCTCCAAAAAGACTGAAGGTCAGTGTTGTAAGTTATTTCCCCCTCCTTCCACCCCAGCCCACCTCCTCCTCCACTGCCTCCTCCTCTTCCTTCTCTTCCTTGTCCGACTGCTCCCTTTTCCCTACTCTTCTGATTTCACTGGTATTTCAGATGATAGAGTGATGCCAACTGACTAGGCCTTGCAGCATATCTGAACCTTAGAAAACTCAGAAAGGTTCTGATTTACAGATTTAATCTTGTCTGTCTTCTCAGGACCATAGCAACTGATACAAATGTCAAAAGAAACTCATTGGCCAGATTTCCAGTGTCTTAATTGTATTAAAGCATGCTTTTACTAGACTGAAAATTTCATGTCGGGTGATTCTTTCATCTCTGTGAGAAGGGGACTGGTGGATCACATCCTTGGGTTGCCTCTTCCTATAGTTTGTGGGGACCTCTATCTCTGCTACCTTTATCTATTGAGTTTACTTTTTCTATGGCTTCTTTCACGTCTTCTCCTTAAGCTCCCTTAATTAGATTTGCCATGTCTAGACTTGACTAAGTAGCTGCAGATCCTCTTTCAGGGCTGACCGATTTTACAGGCTGAAACACTCTCCATTTGGAACTCAACCTTATTTGTTCCTAGTTCAGAGAGTGGCATGTTCCATCCTTGGCCCTTAAGATCAATGATGGTCTAATATGGCCAGTCAATGGCACAGTGGTTTAAGCAATTGTATCCCACATGGCCAAGTGGATGGTTTGAGTTCCAGACCAAACAGTTTGAAAACACACCAGACACACGTGTGTGTTGCCCCCAAATCCTGTGAAGTTAGTAAAGGAGAAGGGCATTATGCTGTGATCATTCTCCCTGGGGGTACTTTCTCACTTTCTCTCTGTTTATTTCTCCAATGAGAGCACCTGCCCTATAGCAAAATTAAAAAGAGAGAAAGAGAGAGAGAGATGGTCTAATGTTTGACCCATTCGTACTCGTGTACCAATTATGCTAGTACCACTAGAAATATTGCTATTTCTGCTAACAAATGTGACAGTAAAGAGAGATAGTTTTCCTTAAAGACTCATTTTCTCCATTTCTTCTTAGACTCTTTATCATTTATGCCCCCTTGAGACCATGAATTAACAAGGATGCTTTAGTTCATTGAAAAGATGCCACTTGACATCAGGGGATGAGGGAAATAAATTTACTTGCCCACCTTGTCTTTTCTAGGTATGGCTGGTGCTTTGTTCAGAGGATCCTATAGTAATATTTATTCCAGAAACTCCTCATGTGCTCATGGCCAGCTTTTTGTCCTTTGAGCCATTTATTCTGGCTGCCCCTGAGATGTTCAGGGATAAACATAGAATGTCCGAACTAGGCATGACCAAGGAGCATGAGAACAAACACTCCACTTAACCACTTGGGATAATGGCAGCCCTTCCAGCCCATCCCTCATTTCTCATTGGTCTTGTTTTCTGACCTGGTATAGTATTTCTATTTTCTACCAAACTGCTGTCCTTGAACAGTGTGGAGGTCTTTCACCACCCTCAGCTTAGGGGATGTTCCTGATGGGTCGGTAGTCACGAATTCTATTTGTGTACATTGTTTTTGACTTCTGTATGTAACAATCCCAACTCAGCAAATGGGAAAACTGAATATTCTTGACTAATACTTTAGCATCTGTAAAATGTCATATTGTAGTTTATTTATCACACTTCTATAAAAAGCAACTGAATATAATCTCTACTTTTCTCTAAAGGTAAAATTCAAGACCTGTTGCCGGTCAGTTCAATTAACACAGAGACAAGGCTAGTTCTTGTCAACGCCATCTACTTCAAAGGGAGGTGGAATGAAGAATTTGCCAAAAGATACACAAGAGAAATGCCTTTCAAAATAAATCAGGTATGGGGAAGCTTAGAAAAAGTCATGCTAGGGACCAGCAATTGGCGTAATGGCTATGTTGCTGGACTCCCATGTAGTTGACCATGATTTGAGTCCCAGAGCTGGTGGCTTAAACTCATGCCGGTGGCTTAAACTCATGCTGGGCATGTGTGCGTGCGTGCCCAAGATCCCAAGAGGAGAATGGAGGAGGGATTGTGGTGTGGCCATCTCCCCTGGGGGATGATTTCTCACTTTCTGTCTCTCTGTCTTTCCGGCGAGCACACACGCCCTATAGCAAAAATGCCTCTCCAAAAAAAAAAAGAAAAGAAAAGAAAAGAAAAAGTCAAGCTCATTAGATGAAGAAATTGAATGGAGAAACATAATGTAAAAACAAATGACTGAGTCCAGTAGGTAGCATGGTGGTTAAAGCAACTGGATCCCACATGACTGATATGTAATTTGAGTCCCAGACCCAGTGGCTTGGAAAACGCTGGACGCATGTGTGTGTGTATGCCCAAAATCCTGAGAGCAGAATAGAGAGGAGGTTGTGGAATGGCCATCCCACCTGGGAGCTACTTTCTCAGTTTCCCTCTCTCTCTCTGGCAAGCACATGGGCCTGATACTGGAAAGAGAAACAAAACTGTAAATGATTGGTTAAAAATAATCTGAAAACGTTAACTAACGTATTTGTGTATAAAGTTTTAAACTCAGTAGAGGAAAACTAAAGTGCTAAAAATATTGCAGCTCGAATGTTTGCGTTTTACTACTGCGATGCCTCCATTGACTTCTTACCATCTGTTACTGCCACCTTGATCTCGAAACTAATTATTTTCCTTTATGCCCCAGTTGCTCAGAGAGAAAGCAAAAATCCAGGTGTTACATATGCATGGGTGGATGGGGTAGAGAAAGAGACTGTGAAAACGTATGTCTTTAGTTAGGTATATTTAAAATTAAAATGAGTACTGACTCGAATGATCAATTTATCATTATTAATTCAGTATTCGTAGCTTTCTGATATTAAAATTAAATGACCAAGACCCTACACTGATATTGAGGTATAAGGCAAGCATTAGAAGAGTTTGCTAATTTATCCAACCCCTAAAAAATCCTTTTTTTGGTCTTTTTTTTTTTTTTAAGTTTTGCTATAGAGTGCACACATTCACCAGAGATAGAGTGGGGGAGTGAGAAATTATCCCCCAAAGGGGATGGCTATGCCACAATCCCTTCTCCTCCATTTTCCTCTTGGGGTTTTGGTCATGCCTGCACACACACCCAGTGTGTTTTTCAAGCCACCAGGCCAAGGACTCGAACTATGCACTCAGCCATGTGGAATCCAGCACTTTAATGTCCATGCCAACCAGTGGTCCCACGGTTCATCTTGCTTTTAAAACACTTTTTTCCCTAATTAAAATAGAAATAAGTTTCTATTTAATTTAAACTCAGTAGGTAAAGAAATGTAGTAATGAAAATATTTCCTGCCTTCATTTTTTTGTATTCTATTACTACTCTGGTCATTCTTTTATATCCGTCACTGCCACCTGGTTCTTAAAACTAAAGGTTTTTCTAAAGCCCGTTCTAAATCATTATATTTGATTGTATTTCTTTTTAGATATCTATGCTGAGCATGTTTTAAATGGAGGAAGTCTGACTTCCACCTCTGGACAGTTTAAAGAACAACATTTTATTTTGCTGAATACACATCTTCTTTCCCACTTTCCCAGGTTAGGATTGTCGAATCTGTTAATGGGATGGGAAGGAGTAAGCTTACATTTTCTTTTTTTTGGAGAGGTTTTGGGTATAGGGTGCTTGCGCTTGCCAGAAAGACAGAGAGACAGAGAGACAGAAAGCGAGAAATCACCCCCCAGGGGGGATGGCCACATCACAATCCCTTCTCCTCTCTGGATCTTAGGCATCCAAACACACCCACCAGGCATGAATTTAAGCCCCTGGGTCCGGGACCCAAACCATAGTTGAGTACATGGGAGTCCCCTGAGCTGACATTGTAAGCAACCCTGGGCGATGAATATGGTGCTTTCTTTCATGGGTGTTGACAGCATCCTGGAGCCCACTGAAGTTTGTATGGAAATGTTACTTGCCTCTTGAACGCTCTGTTTTAAATTCGGTTTATGTGTTCATTGTTATCAGAAGGAACAAAGGCTGGTGCAGATGATGTTTCAGAAAGCGACCTTCAACATGGCGTGTGTCAGCGAGGGGGGGGGGCGGGGCGCCGCTGCTGGGCCTGCCGTATGCGGGGCAGGAGCTGAGCATGCTGGTTCTGCTGCCTGACGATGGAGTGGACCTCAGTTCGGTGAGACTCTGCTGGAGGTTGGCAGACCTTCCCACTCTGCATTTCTGCCAAGAAGGGGGTGACATCTTCCACCGCCTTCTTACCCAGACAGAACTCAGCACTGCCTCCACCTCCTGGCCTTGCCTTTCGTGTTGGAGAACCCGGAGTGTGGGCACTTGACTTTGGACAGAACCTTTGTTCAAGGCCGGCTTGCCCATTGTTATCTGCATGACCTTACTAAATTTCAACCTCTGTTTTCTCATCCTCACAATGGGGTAATAATGTCTTCTGGATAGGATTAATATGAGGATAAATTGGGGGAGAATCCAGGAACCAAGCTTAGCAGGATTATCTGGCAGACAGTAAACTCTTTATAAATGAGATCCATGATTGTCATAATCATTGCTATTGGCATCATATTTTAAAATCTGAGGACTGGACCAGGCTGTAGCATGGTGGTTAACAAGACTAGACCCCACAAAGCCAACTGCATGCTTTGAGCCCGGACCTGGTAGCTTGAAAAACACACGGAGTGCATGTGTGTGTGCACCCAGCATCTTGAGAAGAGAATGGCGAAGGGATTGTGGTGTGGTCATCCCCCTAAGGGGTGATTACTCGCTTGTGTGTCTCTCTTCAGCAAGCACAAATGCCCTATAGCCAAACCTAAAATATAAGAACCTGGAGGCCTGGAGGTGGTGTCACGTGGTTGTGCAATGCTCTGTCAAACCTGACCTGGAAGATCAGGATTTGGCTCCCATTGACCCGTACACTCTGGGGGTGCTTGTGATCATGGAAGGCTGAAAGGCTGGGGAGAGAGGGATTGTAGCATGAGATCTTGTTGAGGGTGCTTGTCTTTCTCTCTCTTTCTGTCTCTGACTCTCTCTCATGAAATAAATAACAAAACTGACAAAACACAGTATTAGGGGCTGACAGGTGGTGTAGTGGTTAAGGTGCCGGACTCCCACGTGGCTGACTATGGTTCAGGTCCTGGACCTGGCGGCTTGCTTTCTCACTTCCTCTTTCTCTATCTCTGGTCAAATTAAAAAATAATAGCAAATGGAATTAAATAAATAAATATTTTAAAAATGATTTCTTGGAAGTGTTTTGGGAGGAGAGGACAGCCATGGTCTTCCTGTCTGTGGGCTTCTTGGAGTCTCCCTACTTGTCACAGAAGTGGTGTTTGGAATAGCACGTGGGACTCTGGGTGAGGAGCAGAGCACACCACTTCCTGGCAGTCCATCTGCAACCAGGAGACATGGGTATCTGTGTGGGTGTGAGTACTGTGTGTGCTTGTGGAATCACAGTAAAGCCCGACACTTAAAGTCTAATTCTGGTCTTACAGGTGGAAAAAAGCCTCACTTTTGAGAAACTGATGGCCTGGCCCAAACCAGAGTGTATGAAGAGTACTGATGTTGAAGTTTTCCTCCTGAGACAAAAGCTGCAAGAGAATTATGACATGGAATCTGTGCTTCGGCATTTGGGAGTGGTCGATGCCTTCGTCCAGGGCAAGGCTGACTTGTTGGTAATGGCAGGTGAAACCGCTCTGTGTTTGTCCAAGTTTATGCACAAGAGTTTTGTGGAGGTGAACGAGGAAGGCATGGAGGCAGCGGCAGCCTCGGCGGTTGTGTTGGTAGGGTATTGCCTGGTCTCTGGACCCCAGTTCTGTGCTGACCACCCCTTCCTCTTCTTCATCAGGCACAACAGAACCAACACCCTTCTGTTCTGTGGCAGGTTCTCGTCCCCGTAGGGGTGTTCTTACTGCGCGTGGAAGCATTTCCCTCTTTCTGTGTTCCAGATCCTTGTCTATAGCCCGGCGAGGATCTGGAAAGCCAAGTGCAAAGAGGAGGGTGGACGTTTCACTTGTCTGAATGATTTTCCAGCCTAATGTTGTGATGCTGCATACTCTGCTGTCTCCATGCTGACCACTCATTTCGGCTCCTTACTCAAGGTCCTAGGACAACAGATGCTGTTGTATTTGAGATGCATTTAAGTTTAGGTGCACAGGTTTCCTAGGTGGTCCCTAATTAAGCCAAGTGCAAAGAGGAGGGTGGACGTTTCACTTGTCTGAATGATTTTCCAGCCTAATGTTGTGATGCTGCATACTCTGCTGTCTCCATGCTGACCACTCATTTCGGCTCCTTACTCAAGGTCCTAGGACAACAGATGCTGTTGTATTTGAGATGCATTTAAGTTTAGGTGCACAGGTTTCCTAGGTGGTCCCTAATTTATTGCTCACTCATTCCATGTGCAAATCCTAGCCAATACACTGTGCTTTCCAGATGCCTCAAATCTTTTTTTTTAATTTACTTTTTTATTATCATCATAATCTTGTTTATATTACATTGGATTGCATGTAACTTTACAGTGTA